ATCTACACTCTCCACAATCTCCTATAGACGGTCTGAGAAGGCTGATCTTGATGCTGTGTTTCCAAGCTCAGGGACATGATCTGCTGAATAGAGAGGTTAGGAAACTAAAGAATGCCACTTCCAAAAGAAGGCTTAACAAGCAACCAAATATAAGTTGAATTTCAAGTTTTTTTCATTGCTCTATCATTGGTCAATAGGATTTAAAGTCAATAAATATCCTGTAGGCATTTACTAGTTTGTGAAGCATTGAGTAAATATTAACTAGAAGGATGAACATGAGTGCCCTGTGTAGGGTATATGCTAATGAGGAACTACAATGTGATAACTGTAAATGGTGTAAAATGCCAAGTTTATTTTGCTTTGCTTGGGTTCAGACCAAAATAAAAGGTAAGTTACATAAGCAAATCAAAAGAGCAATTCTTAATAGTGGGGAGCAGAAGCAAACCAATGGAGTTGCATGGGGAGGAGACTACAGCTGAGATGGGTCTGGATATATTGCAGACAGACAATCAGCAAGCACTATCAGAACAGGCCATCCATCCTAAACAGTGGGCAAACACAAAGCATGTTTGGGAACTAGGGAAAAATCCAGTTCATCAAGAACAAAGAATAGTCCTAGTAGAACTAGCTAATTATAGGAGATAATATAGACCAAAAAAAGATGATCACCTTATCCTGAGCCTTTAATATCAATCTAAAATCACCATAGCTTTCCTTCTAAAAGTAGAATCAAAGGAAGGTACTAGAATACATTCTCCAGGATAATAAGAATTAAACCAAGTGTTAGCAAATATAGTTGACTTTAAGTGGAGGTGGTAAGGGAAGAGCATTCAAGCACACCAGCCTAGAAGTGATGCTATGAACATACTATTAGGTAGCTGAGAGGAAACCGAGGTGAGAAACAGAAATAGATTCAGCAGAGAGAGAAGGCCCATAGAGAAGGGTCTATGTCAACCATTTTCAAACTGGATGTCTCAAATAATGGTGCCCCCACTTGAACAAAGCTGGTGTGTGCGGTTTTCCTAGTCCACTTTTAGTCTTGACTTCATAATGATAGTAAAAATCTATCCTAGTAATGAAAACGTCTGTCCAGCTAGCTTTGAGAAGGGAACTGGGCACTAGACTTGGACACAACAGGAGAAATTAAAATTGCCTGTTTGCTTAAGAGAATAGCGCATGCACGAAAGGTAATTGAAACAGAACTTGGTAAAAAGTTGAGTAGACTGTACAAAAGAAAAGAAAAAATGGTCATAAGAAGAGTTACCAGGAACCCGAGAGTGATTCAGTTCCACAGACAGCCATGGAGAAGAATGCAGTCATTATCAGCTGTTGAGACAGTGTATGTGAGGCCTCAAACTAGATGCTAGGAAATGAATTGATGGCGAAGATGTCCCAGGGGTCATAGTCAGCAAAGGACCATTGGGCAGCAGAGGAAGACCACAGGGAACTCAGGAGGATGTAGCAGACGCATTTGGACCTTTAACCGTATGAGCCATTTTGGAAGAATAAGGGTGAATAAATGAATATAGCAAAGGGCTCAGCTGAACAACCTTAAAACCTATTGAACAAATAATACTCATATCTTCATCTCCTCTCTCTTTATCCCTCTGTCTCTTTGTCTCTCTCTGACTCTCCCTGTCTCTTTCTGTTCCCCCCCCATGCATCTGCTGGAAACGGTCCCTAAGGAGGAGAGCTATTGAGTAAACAAGTCAATGTGCTATGAAATATTGAAAAGCAATATTATCCACAAGTTATGAAAAACAGCAAGGACAGGAAAACAAAATGACAAAAATGAGTAAGAAAGATTGTGCATTGTCCAGAAATATAGTTTCAAAACAAACCAAACACTGTCTGCTCTAAAATTCTTCAGAAATCTTGAACACATATTTTATCTTGCATGGCTCATTAATGTTCAAAACAGCTATGTCCTTACTTTATGAATGAGGGTGTTAAATATCAACAGAAAAGAAAAAAACTATAGCATATAAGGGAAGGAAATGGACATCTCTGAATTGTAATACTGCACAATATTTATTGAGTACTCCTTTTCATCTGTGTGACATAAAGAAGGTAGAATATCTTATACAATGAAAGGCTTTTCCAAGGTCCAGAATAAATGGATTTTTTACTATTACTCATGGGGAATTGCTAATTTGACTTTCCTTGAACCTTAATAAACACAAAATTTCAGCTAAAGCCACAAAACATCCATCAAGTTATGATTCAAAATTCTAGCCATTTTTTTCTTCACTACTGTTGAAACATGTTATTTTCCTTCCCACTTTTACTGTAGATTACATCAGATAACATCTGCCATCCCTGAGTTAGATGACACAAATTAAGGACACTGATGAATAATTTCATAGGGCTCCCCCCACCCCCGCCTTCTTTCTGATTCTTTTAAATAATATGATTGAAATCCCCCCTTCTTCTCTCTCACACACACTAGCAGTAGAGTTATGGTGGATTTTTACAACAGGGCATCAAAATAATGGGACTAGTTGACAGAATGCAAAAAGTATTTTCACAGTCTTTGAGAAGGACATGGAATCTGATGAGTGTTGAACTAAAAGTCTGATATACCTTGCACCATCGGTATTTTATGGCCTGTAGCATTCACACAATCAATTTCAGTGACCTAGAAGGTGATGCGTGGAAGCTCACTACATGTTTTTATGTGTTGAAAAGTGTAGGGATGAAAGTTTAAGCAACATAATTAAACTCTTAAGCCACCATATCTGAGGTTTTCCCACTTTTTGCCACATCAAAGGAGAGGGTCTCTTTTACCTCTCCACTGAGCATTTTTCAGAATCTTGCCTGCAAATAAAGCCATAACACACACACACACATACACACACACACACACACACACACACACGAAAGAGAGAAATATCTACAACTCAAATTTTTTTTCTCTCTTCCTAGATTTTTCTATCAGATAATTCTGTTAACGTCTGATTGGATCCTTTTATGATTCTCTAGTTCAGGGGGGAAACCCTTATGCTCCACTTACTGAAGCAGAAACAAGCTGTTGGGGCTATTATTTTAAACCCGAAACCTAAAACCTTTAGAATTGACAGCCCTGATAATTACAAATTTGAGCACAGATAACCAAAGTGCTAAATCATATTTAGTCCCGTCTGCCATTACCATCAGAACAGTGACAAGAGACAAGAACAAAAATAATGCTCTCTACTGTGTTTTTTCCCCTTTACTCTCATCACGTCACACATTGATTACCCAAAAATGGCTGCATGAAACTAAACAAACAAGTGTTAAATTTTCACGCTGATCCCCATCTTAGCCAAGATGTAATCAGCATCTTCCTATTCTCCAAGAAAATCATTACGGTTGATGCTAGAGACGATATCACACTTCCTGTTATTAATACTGTAATTGGTTTCACATTCGTCAGGTGTGACTTCATTTGTCTTTCTCACGTATAGGAATTCTACCCACCAGGACATTGGAATGGACATATAAATTTAGTCCCCATCCGACTGACTAGGCCCAGGTAAAGAGCTGTTGTTACCAGAGAAGGCAAACATAAGCCGTCAACTATAGTGACTGTGCCCGAACAGCCTGTCCCAGCTGTATAGTGTTCCTGAGCCTTGAGTTCACAAGCTCTCCTGAATGAGAATGGGCATATTACCCTATTCACAACTGCAACGATAGTTTCTTTACACTCAACCTACAACAAGCCCCTTACACTTGAAGTGCCGTTCTGTGTGTATATCTTCCAGGTATACTGGGTCATAATAGGTAGGCACTTGTTACTCCGAGAAAACACCATCGGAGGTCAAATTTGGGGTTTCGGTGCTAGTGATCATATTCGTTTTCTATGAAGAACCAAGACTTTAAAATTCCACATTCAAATGAGCCAAGCACCCTCCTGGTTACAAGGAGCTTAACTATCAGAGGGAAGGTACTTGAAGATGTCCATTTCTTATGCCCATGCATTTCTGAGTGCTGGACTCAGATGTTCGGGTGGCTCTGTTTCCGAGAGTAATGAAGAGAATGCTCAAAAACACACAAACAAGCAAACAAACATACTTTCTACAAATTTATAGCCCTTAAGGCCACATTCTGACCCTGTAAAGCCAAGTGACACAGTAGCGACACGTGACTCCTTACATTATATAATCTTCCTCACTCACATTCTCCACAACCATTTTGATCCTATTTAGGGTCCTCAAAAAAAAAAAAAAAAAAAAAAAAAAGACCTGAACACATCAAAGCCATCTAAAAACAAACTGGTAACCCAAGATGGTCTGTGAGGGCATCGATTCTGCCTTAGGTCCTGCTGAACTCAGAGAACAGCTCCTATCCCTTCCTGTTTCCCAAAGAGCCACACTCCTTGCACAGTACCCAGTACCTTTCCAAGGCTGTACTATAGGAAAATTATTTCCAAGCGTCACCGAGGACTATTTTCTCCAAACACACTAAACTGGAGGTAGCAATAGAACAAGACAAGCGCTCCTGCAAAGGGCTCTGACGTGGCCAGGCAATAGCCCATCTGTGTATTACCCAGGGGATCAAAACAGAGTTCTAGTGAAGTGTTGGGGAGCATTGAGGAAGTGTGGAGGGGGTGGATCAACACCATTTTGGCTCATTTATCCCCAGGTGTTAGGGGAAGGAAGTGTGCCTGTGAAAGGCATCTGGTAAAAGAAAACACAACCTCAGAAATTTTCAGGGAAGGCAAAAAAGTACGCACGGGATCGCGACGGACCCTGCCACCAGCGAGTTTCAAACACACTTCAAGCATTTTCTTTTTCCCCTCCTAGACCTTGCCATGCACCCCCATTCCCTGGCTCCCCATGCCCCCACTCCCACCTCCCTTTCCCAGTCCCATGAGGGTCCGCACTCTCATGCAGCGATGGCAACAAGCTTCCCCCCCACCACCACCACCACCCGGCCCCCAGCGTGGAAGGGGCACCGGATCTTAGCGAGGGAAGGACAGTACCAGCGGGATGCCCGCTCGCAAGCCCATCTCATCCTACCGCCTGTGGAGCTCGCCTCCTCCAGCTGAGCCGAGATGCTTTCCACCCTTCTTACGTTCATCTTGGGGGATGCTGGGTGCGAGAGCGACACTCTTAAAGTCCGCTGGCCCAGGGGCGTCTGGCGATGGGTCTGGCACCGGTGCGCACAGCCGCTCTGTCCTGGGCAACCAGGGCGCTGAGAGCTTGGAGGCGGCGGCGGCGGGCAGGGCGCGCGGAGTCGCTGCAGGTGCGAGCAGAGGCCGGCGGGGGGCGCCGGGGGCGCTGTGCCGCGCTGGGTGGCAGGGATGCGCGGGTGGCGGGGGCCGGGACACCCGCAGCGGAGAAGCCTGGACGCTGTACCGCCTGACAGAGCGAGGCGCCCCCCGCCCCTGGCACGCTTGGCACCGCCTCTGCCACCTGCTGCCAAGTCACCGAAGGAGAAAGTAGAGGAAGCTACAGCGCCTCAGGTGACAGAGCGATGCACCCAAACAAGAGACCCGAAGCTGCTTAAGCTTAAGCAGGGCTCCTTTCGAGATTTTTTTTTTTTTTTTTTTTTGAGACCCCCTTTTGCATCTCTCTAGGCTGGCTCAAGGCCAAAGAAAGTTCTGGCAAAGAAACATACTGTGTAGTCCTTCGGGGGTCAGAGTCCGTGGAGTGAGAACTGGGTTCGAAGGACACCAGAAGGCAAGTGCAAGGAGATGCCCTTCTGAGGAACCAGGCAGAGCGCCAGCAACTCCTAGACAGGATACTTCCCAAGCGCAATTCAGTCATGAGACTCAGAGAGAGGTTGGAGAAAGTGACTTCTAGACATTGACCAGACAGAGCCAAGGTGAACCACAGCACTTTGCACGGAGCAGCTGAGCTGTCTAGGTGATATTTCCCACAAACTCCTTCAAAGGGAGGTTTTACTGGAGGTGGCTCTGTTGGAAGGCATGGCTGCAATCCCAGGAGAATTCATCATGCAGAGCTGCTTGTCTTTCTAAGCAAACCAAGGCCAGCAATGGCTGGAAGGCAGAGACAACCCAATAAACCACTTGTGGCCATGGTTACTGTTGGAGAGAGAGCCAAGCATTTTAAAGCACAGACTTCTTTGCCCAGGAGTGAAGTCTATCATGCTCTTCTGAAAATAAAGGTCGAGCTGACCGGTTCTGTGGGCCAGCAAGACAAATTAACATTTGTTCACACTCTCAGCTGCAAGGTCAACTGGTCCTGACACACTTGAAGTAGTTTCTAAGTGTTTGGAAAGCCATTCTTTCTTCCTGCGTCCACGTCCACCTGGTTACAAACACGGTGAATCCTTGCTCCTTTTTCCAGTTAGGCTTTAATTGCCGCGTGTTCTTCCTTTCATCCCTAGTACTGTAAGTGCTAAGTGCCTCACTGGAAAGCCCTGCGGTGCTGCGTTCCACACTCATGGTTGAGAGGACAATTCCGACTCATCCATTGCCTCCTTTCAAATCCTTCTTCCGATAATTAAGGATCATGTGAGTTTATCGGCTGGAATCTACTTTATAGATCTGTCGTGATTTAAGCAAATCGGTGGACAGACGTAAGGGCAAAAAATAGCTTCAGGACAAGGGAAGGAAGCAGTTGTGAGGGCAGAGTGTTTAGGGACATTGAGGAGGCTGCTGTGCCTGGAATGGGGAGGACAGCAGAGTAAGGGGATGCAAGAGTCAAAGGATTAGATTATGTGCTGTGTAAAAATCTATTGAGTCAAGCATATAAAATTCTAACTGGTGTAAGCACCATGTTTTCTCCTAACAAGCCTCCTCTCTGTCCTTCCTAGTCAAGACTACTATTTCATTCTGATCATGTGGCATCCTAGGACTTGAACAATCTCAAAGGAAGCCTCCAACTAGCAATCCTTGCCAGAAACAACCACAACTAAAACTCAGCAGATCACTAAAGCCTCTCCAGATATAAACTCTAGTATTTTCTCTCTACTAACTTCTAAATCACCTTCAGGTGTAGGTTTGGGCCCAGCTGGCTGGGCTGGAATCTAAAAAGGTGTGTGCTTAACCTTCCTCAACTCAAAAATGTACAAAACAGTAATGTGGTGTCGATGAACTGCTGGCAAGTATTAAATGGCACGCGGAATGCATGTGTGTTCTGGATGGTTCTGGCACATAGTAAGAGTAAAGTATGAGGTACTATAAAGAGAGTTGTCATCATCACCGCGATCGTTGCCATCACCACATTGTACCCTGATGAAATCAAAGGGGATAGAAAAAGGCACCACTGTGTTCTAAAAGAGATTATTTGCCCTCCTTATTTATATCTTGAGAAATTCACAAGGCCCATCTGTAAAATTCAAAGAATATTTTTGTGTGTGTGCCAATCCACTTCTCAAGACCTGTTAGTGATGGTTAGTCCCCTTGGGTTCCCCATACGTTGTATCTCTGGACTAGCTATAAATAAGGCAGCAAAATCGTATAAAGTGGACACTATACTGGAGCAGTTGCAATATGTTAACCCTCCAGAATATTTGTGTGGGATCTTGGCTACTATAATGTCCACGCCTGTTGTCTTTATATGAACTATTAGTCTCTGACAAAAGGGCTCAGAAAATTTCCCTTCTGCTGACACTGATTGAAAATTTATTTCATTTTCTGTGTATGAGTTTTTTTTTTTTTTTTTTGTGTGTGTGTGTGTGTGTGTGTGTGTGTGTGTGTGCAAGTATGTATCACAGGTATGCCCATGGACTCCATAAGAGGGTATCAGATACCCTGGAAATTGAAATGAAATTACAGGTGGTTGTGGTCTGCCCAGTGGCTGCTGGTATTGGAGTCTGCATCTTCTCTGAAAGAGGAACCGGTGTTCTAACTGCTGAGAAACCTCTCCAGTTTTGTTTGCTGCCATTTTTTAATACTTAGCACTGGAGGTGTGGAGTTAACTGTCTTTCTCATTCCATCCTTCGTTGACTTCATCTGGCCCAAGTATAGGAAATGCTCATCCTCTGAAGCTCTAGCCTTTACGGCAATCTTCCTACTCAGTATCTACACAAAGATTCCTGTTTTGTACTGCTGACTGCAGATCACTTTTCATGTTGCATGAATCCAGTCCATGGTCCCTTCTGGGGATCAGGCAAACAGCAGATGCAAAAATCCTAAGTAAACTATGTGGAGGCATTGCCCTCAGATTTTGATGAACGCTGCTTCATTTAATCTTTACAGAACTCTATTGGGCCATACCTACTTTTTTCCAGAAAGTCACCAACCATTTCTCATCTTCAATTCTGCATCTGTTAGAAAAGGGAAATTGAGGATCAAATAAGATAATAAAAATGAGATCTATTTATAAACCAAGGAATATTGCCAGAGTATCCAGGTTTACTTTATTGTGCTCTGAACTATTATTGCCTATGACTGAGCAGCCCCTACATTCAGCACATTTGCTCACCAGGACTCATACAATGATAGTAAACTTGGAGCATTTAGTGTTGGTTGAGTGCTTACTATGCACCCTGCTCTCTATTAAAAACTCTATACCACTCCATCACGTCACACTATGGAGGAATGTGGTATACAGTTATTTTAGGTTGATTTAAAAACACACTCAGCCAAACTCCAGGAATCCAGTTGTAGAGAGGGAGGAGTGATAAGAAGAGGGGTCAAGACCAGGCTACAGAAACCCACAGAGACAGCTGACCTGAACAAGGAGGTGATAATGGACCCCAAGACTGATAGCTGGGAATCCAGCATTGGACCGACTCAGACCCCCTGAACATGGGTTTCAGTTAGAAGGCCTGGGCAGTCTAAGGGACCTCTCTAACAGTGGAACCAGGATATATCCCTGTTGCACGGAAGGACTCTGGGAGCACATTTCCCATGGAGGGATACTCCCATAACCTAGAGGCAGGGCCCTACTACAAATGACTTGACAGATTTTGTTGACCCCTCCTGGAAGGCATCATCCTCCCTGTGGAGTGGAGAGGTGAATAGGATGGGTAGGTGGTCAGGGGGCATGGGAGGAAAGGAGGGAGGGAGAGGGAACTGGGATCGATATGTAAAATAAGAAAAAATAAATATTAAAACACTAAGTGACTGAAACTCACAGACATTAACTTGCCCAAAATCAATCATCTCTGAAGAAATGCAGCTGATATTTGATGCTGTTTTCATCTCTTGACAAACCTGGAGCTGTCAATCACTTTCAGATGGTCCTCAGACTGTAATATCTACAAGAATCACACAGGTACTTGGTGTAAAAATTCCTCTCGTCCAGCCTTGTTTATGGAGTCATTGAGTTCGGAAAGAAATCTAAGACTGTCCCTTACATTAATACATCTTTGTCTTTGAGAGTAGGTTTAAATGCTTAGGAAAATAAACAGAAATTCACGGTTTCTTTCTCAGAACTACCTTCCTATGTTTTCCCAATAACATCTTGAGGTTTCTCTGTTACAATTCATAACGGATAGGCCCACAGCACAGTAGATTTTACTAAAGTCCATAGTTTGTTTAGGACTTGTGAATTTATAGGAAAAGAGATATCTCTCAGAGAGAAAGCCAGGTGAGGATGAAGTACTTTTCCACAGATAGAATCATACTTTACAGCTTGATCTGGGGCTCACAGCCTATAGAGCTGGGGATAATAAGCCACTGTTGTTTCCACTACATAGTCTGAGATTTTGTTGTTGTTGTTGTTGTTGTTGTTGTTGTTGTTCTGACAACCGAGTGTACCACACTTCACCAAATCACAAAAGCACAGCCTGGGACACTGTGCCTTCATCCTCATCTAGGGCCCTGTCAGGAATTCACGGCCGGGATCAAACTTAGACTTCTTGAATCAGTATCCATACCATTTACAACACCCCCAGGCCCTTCCAGATACACAGAGGACACTGGAGAGGAAACCATTCAACACAGCCTATGCTACATGACTCTAGGCTTCCCCTGGAGCCCAGTGGGTGTGAAGGAGTTGGTATAATAACCCTAATCAGTTCACTGGACTTGACCTTGGCAAATCAAACCTGTGTTCCTCTTGTGTAAACCCCTGTTCAAATGAATGAAACTGTTTATTGCCCATTAGTGTTTAAGGACAAGTATTCCCAACCGTGATCACATGACTGCCCATGCCAAATCCTTATAGTTCTATGATTCCTCAGCATTCAGTGGTCTATGTTGATATTCTCACATTAAAGAAAACATTAATATGCTTTGGGGACAAAGATAAAGAAGGCACTTAAGGGCCACTAGGTTAATTCTGACCCTTCCATGCAATTAATTTGTATACAACCTGATTGTTCTTTATGGTTCTGATGTAGAGACAGATCAGATATTAGGTGCCCCACTTTACAGATGAAGAGTGTGACCCCCACAGAGATTAAAGAACTTTCTTTAATTCTCA